AAAAAAATGTATGTATAAACGTAAACGAAAAGACAGGATTCGGCAAAACGGTGGGATTAGGATGGCTGACGGAATTAATTAGCGTTCATGATGGATTATTTAATGGATGTATCGGAAAAAAATAAACCCCGTAAAAATTGGCTGGAAATATTCGCCGGATCGTATTAAACGGATCACTTGGATCTTTTGACCGGAGAATAATACGATACGCAGGATTCATGCAGGATCGTCTAACGCAGGATTTGGATTATCGAGGTGTGTGTCGATTATCAGACTGAGCGTGGCGTCGTTCATGCTTGAAAAGAAATAGGTTGTCACGGATTTCTCGCCTAGGTCGGATACGGAAAATTTGGACTTGCACTTAGCGGGATCAATACAGGAATATAGTCGGATATCATTTTGTCACGGATCGAAAAAACGGATGTGATCACGCGCTTTAAGGTATTTGGATCATGTTTAATAATCTCTGACGTCCCTTCGATATTATATTTATATATATATTTATATATACACACATATGAACACATAAACACACATACACACACATATACGCATAAGTACACATATAATTTTTCTGCATGCATATCATCTCTTCTAAAACAGTAATATTATGCCCACTAAAGTTCCACCATTTTGATTTTCACTAGAACACACGGTCCATTGTCAGAAACTAACTTAAATTTAATAACAGATATTCACAATGCTGTCTGTTCGAATGATATTTAAGTGTGTTTGACTTTTAATCCGTTCATGTTCTTTACGTTCAGTTTAAACACGTTTGAGCCATTGGCAAAGAAACAATCAAGTGAAATATGCTCGAATTTTTTGGCAGATTGAGTGTCTGTCCCTGTCCACCCCTGGTAGAATTAACCTGTCCACGATAGTGTCCGAATCTCCTCCCCGCCAGCCCCCTAAATAGACAATTAATTGTTACATCTTGGTACTACGTTCTTTTTTCTTTGTTTCTCGACGATAGAAATTTTACAGAGCTCTCCTGGTCGTTGATGTCTATTCGAGAAGAAGCAATAAAAATGTGTACTTTATTGCCGTTCATACGTTCTTGGATATCCTGAACTCCTTTCCTCAACTAATGTGTATTATTCTAAAGTATTTACGTCTCTTTTTGTTTATTACTCCATTGGTATTCAGTTATTTTTCTTTTTCTTTGCACGTTTGGCGAAGAGTTCCAGAGGGGAACAGTTCAATACAAACTTCATCCTCTCATTATGGAAGTTTGATTTGTGTTTTTTTTTCTTAATTCGAGGCCTAAATCAATTGGATGTAAATTTAAGTTCATTAAACGAGAAAAATGTGTAATTTAATACGATCTAGTAATTAGGAAAAAAAATTGGTGATGCCGAATCTGATGCCCAGTGTACTATTAGGTGAGTAACATGGAGTCAACAGAAGAAAGTGTAATATTATTAATCTTTTGTTATCAGTAAATCCATTTGGATGATCCATAGAATCAAGAGAAGGATCAGCTTCTACTGGTCTTGGAAGAATAACTAATTAATAAAAGTAAGAATTTTGCAAAATTAGTTTCACCTTCCATTGTTAATACTACATTGAGCTTTTGTTTGGTGCTGCCTTATATAATTTTTATAAACTACATTTAAACAAGTTTTATAAAGACTTTCATTACTGTCATAAGCTGTATGTGTGAATAAAATGTCTTCATTCTTCTAAAATCACGAGTAACAAATTTGTAAAACAAAACGATTTCCAATCCTCAATCTTATTTTTAGTTTGAATCTACTTATTTGTACACCTATGCATTTATAATTCTGCCTATCATATTCAATAAAATTGATTAATCAAAGTTTGAAATCAAAGAACTTGTATCGTATACTTGCATTTTGCAGTTGTTCCTATAACTAAACAATGTTCATGCGTTTTAAACATCTTCCAAACATCATTCAACTTACAAGTTTTAGGTTGGACACGAATATTCACGACTTCAATTTATTTAAATTAATTATTGTTTACCAAATTCATTTCAGATGACTAAGTTAATCAGTTGAGCGATTGGTTGTGTGTATGTTTGCGAATGTTACTGAATGCTTGCCACTGTTCGACGACAGATATTTAATTGACATTGTCCGACGATGACTGATTTTACCTTGTTTTACTCTTTACTATTAATTAAAAAGTTTCGACGCATTTTTAAGTCTCGCGAATGATTGTTTGAAGATTTTCGAATTTCTAAATTCACCTCAAAGGACCAAAGAGGCATATTGTTTCCTCTTTCTCAAAATTTTTATGATACAACCCTTAAATCCAACGATAAATATTTATAATAGGAT